AGGAACCGTGCCGCAACTCTGCCACCTGCTGTGCTGCACGTTTGCCATCACCCCTCAGCCCCCCCTTTCTGTGCTAGTGGGCAGAGAGCTAGCTGGTACCGGCAGTCCCGGGGGGACCAGCGTGGAACAGCCCCGGTGCCCAGCTCTGTTCCCCCCACTAATGTCACTACACTGGGGTGGGTGGACAACCGTCATCCTCAGCAGCCCTTTGCCTGCCCTCCCGGCACTGTGCTATTAGCCTGCTGTGGCAGCACTCCACGTCACAGTAAGGCAGCATGAGGGCCCTACGCTAGACACTGGTTTCTGTGATAACTCAGCACCTTTGAGTGACACTTCACAGTGACACTGTGCCTTGCTGCCTGGCAGAGAAGCGGGGTGCTGTGCCAGGCAGCTGCCTAGTGTGATGACAGAGTGTGAGCTGGGCCCCTCTGCAGGTTGCTGCCAACACTGTCTATGGCAGTGTTGCAGTGCAAGGGTGTCCCACAGACCGGCAGCACCCCACAACTGGGTCACCACTGTTTCACAGCCCCGACTGCTCTCAAATCTCACTCCTAAGTATCTAGTCTTATTATACACGTGTGTCTTTTAACCCAGGTCTTATCAGCACAGCTCCCTGAAGACACTGCAGGGAGGAGAGCAGCAATCACATCTCTTTGTCCACCCTATAGAATAAACACACACTGTTTTCTGGCTGCTGTGATAGTGGGGCAAGCAGAAGCTGTGGCGTGTCCCCCTCAAGCCTTCCTCCTTCAGCACATCAACCTTCAGAGCTCCAAAGGGACTAGCATTCCCCTCTGGCCAAACCTCCAGAGCATTACAGGGAAAGCAGCAGACCACAGGTAGCTCAGAGCTAAGCCACCCCTCCAGGAATAACCTAGGCTGGCTAAGAGCTGTTTGACAGCACTCACCATTCTGACAATGTAGTTGTGAAGCTGCTGGTTGATGTAGTTCACGGTGGTCCTGAAGACACGCTGTAGAAGGGAAGGCATTGTATTCGCAATTTTTTTAGTTAAGACCATTGCTAGCACCAATGTGGCCCTCTCCCGTTCCATGTCTGAGGGGATGGCTCGTGCAAGGCTTTCCACTGCCTCTGACATGTGCCGGGTTATCTCCTGTATGGAAGGAAGAGAGGGATCTCAGTGCAACAGCTGTGGGAGAAAGGAGTCTCAGCACGGCCTGCCAGCACTGTGCTGGTAAGTGACATGCTTGTTCTAACACCTCACAGGATGCCACTCCTCTTCCTTTGGGGCACGGCCACCTGCCTGTTACACACCCTGGAGGGCAATAAGGATGACTACCTACAAGCTCAGCTGCTCACCCAAGACAAAAAGAAAAGGAGACAACTCATACCACTGGAAAATTTAAATAGCACCTTACACACTCAGGGTGCAACAGCCCCCCTCCTCCCCAGGGTTAGCACCGAGCCTGCCACGTCCTGAAGTGGCACAGCAATCCTGGGGCTCCCAGGAGAGGGCAACCCACCTCAAACACAGTGAAGATCAGGGGTACAAGCTTAAGTGGGGACTAGGGAGAAGGCAAAGTGAGTTTCACAGAAAAGCCTTCACATAGGCAGGAGCTAGAGAAGGTGTCCAAGCATGGAACAAACACTGCCTTGCTCCCAAGATCAGTGGAAGATCAGTTTTCCAAGAGGGACAGTGTGCACGTGCACACACTAAGCTACACTACGCATGTGAAAAAGCAGGGTGCACCTGGTGAGAAGTTAGGTTTGTCTCAGTGTTAAAAACTGAAAGGTTAGGCAATAAATTTGAAGGCCTGAAACCTAATTGTGTCGATAACAAGACAGAAGGAGCGGGGAATGATTGGACTTTGCTGGAATCAGTCTGTGCAGGTGATAAACTCTAGTGGAAAAAAAACAACAAAAAAGATTGTTTGAAGCTATTAAATCCCGCCTTTTCATCGAGAAGGTGGACCCTCAATTCAAAGGGCAGCATTACCTTGTAGAGCACAAGAAACCATCACAGGCAGAGAAAGCCAAACAAGCCAGAAAGCCACAGTTATCTTGAAGATGCCAAAAAGGCTCTGTGGAAGCAAACTATGGCTCTTGATCCAGATATGGATCCAATCCTCAAAAAGAAAAAAAAGAAAAAAAAGAAAAAAGGGATGTCTAACACAAGGGACCTCAAACTCTACTTCCCTTACAGAGCAGTGAGGCACATTAGATGCTGCGCCAGGGATTACATCACATCTATTGGTGGGGGAGCAACTGCATCAAAGAGGTGGAGGTACCACCTGGAAAGGTCTTCTCAGCAGGTCACCCATTCAGGCCAAAAGCAACTGCTACTCCCAACACACAGCCTATGAGCTAAAGAGTTATGGCACTAGAAGAGGGTCTCGCTACTTGTCTCTTCAGCATTCAGCAACAAACACAAGTCAAGCTTCTGGCACTAACACCGCTCAAGTTTTACCCACGTGACAAGCAGCAGACATACCGGGCTCAAAGTCCAAAGATCTTAAGGACCAATACCAAGTCTTAACCAGACAGTTGATTTTCAAGAGATAAGCTATTGGACCAATAAAATGAGGACAAAATGCCTCTGAAAGTTAGTCCTTCGCCACAAGTACCTCAGTTTCACCATCTGCAGAAAGGAGATGAGCCCAAGGAACCCAGTTTGCAGGGCAACATCTGCCACAGAATCACCTCTAACAAATCTTCCAAGGTAGTGTTTGGGCTGAATTTTAAGATTGCAATAATTAAAGCAGCAAACTAGCAAAGATACAGATGTTGCAATTTTGCTGCTTCAAAGTCACAGCAGGAAGGATGCACAACTTTTAAATGGGAACTGCTAGTCTGATTGCTTTTCACTCACCTCTCCAGACAGATTCTCATTCAGGAAGTGCTGCACTAGATCATTTACTACTCTTGCTTGGATTTCTTTATCAAACTGGTCTCCAATCTCAGCGAGCTGAGCAGCAATGATCCGGACAACTTCTTCATTTACCTCAGGGTCAAACACTGCCAACACATACAGCAGGATTTAGTTCACAGGCTGCAGTCAGACCAGGTTCAGTGCAGGTAAGCTGACCCATTGCATTTTGCCCATCTCCACTAACAACCCCCTTCCCACCCTACCCCCAATCATAGTGCATTCATGACAGCTACACACACTACAACTCCCTTGCAGTGCACTTGACTCACTTACCAGAGCCTACACAAACAGTTTTTTTATCTGTAGTTAAGTAAAGTGCAGCCAGTCTCACGTTGCCCAAAAAACACTACAGAGAAGGTTAAAACACCTCCAGACAAAATTTGTACAGGACAGCTACAGCCAACACCCTGCCTAAAGAGGGGAAGTGAGAGAGTGTGCATGATTTTTTCAAGTGACTACCATCAGGATGTGTCTCTCAAGCACCATCTAAAACACAGCATCTCAGAATAGTTTGGATTGGAAGGGACCTTTAAAGGTCATCTAGTCCAACCCTCCTGTAATGAACAGGGACATCTTCAACTAGATCAGGTTGCTCAGAGCCCCATCCAACCTGACTTTGAAAGTTTCCAGGCATGGCATGCCACCACTCTGGGCAGCCTGTTCCAGTGTTTCACCATCATCGTAAAAAAAAATTCTTCCTTGTATGTAGTCTGAATCTACCCTTCTTTAGTTTAAAACCATTACCCCTTGTCATATCTCCTTTTGGCAAAGCTTTCCATTGTCACTTGGGGCATGAGACCTATGCAGATTTGTAAGAAGGAGGGCTTTAAAAAAACAACAAGACAAACCACACAACAACAACAAAAAAACCCAAACTGTAGCAGTTCCTCCTCACCCTGCTTAGGTTGAGGTCAATGTGCCAGCTGACACACCCTGGGCAAGGGGTAACAGCCACCCTGCAGGATGGCTAATGAAGCAGGAACAGTACCAGAAACTATTTGAGGAACACTTTCCACCACATTGGTAGAGTAGGAAGGAATTTACTCAGTACTAGGACAAGAGACGTTCCAAAATCCTAGCCCAAGTACTGATACTGCCTGAGTAGCAGTGTGAGGCCTGACTTAACTGCTTAATATCACGCTTCTTAAGGACAGCAATCATTAGTCTCAGCTTTGTGGCCCTTGTCTGATGTGCTGCAGACAAAACCCCAGGGTGATGGGTGCTCTCGAAATCCATGGGGAGATAGAGTGCTAAACACTGTGTTATCCCAAGTGTCAAAATCCCAACAAATACCACCACCAGCCACTCTGTGAAGCTTCTCAAAGGAGAAAACATCACTCCTCTGAAACAGACCAGCAGTGAAGATGGGAAAAGGGGAAAGAAAAACGTCACCTTCAGAGAGGCATGTAGGATGGAGAAAAGAGCACTCACCTAGCTCACCATTCTGCAAGTGACCGCTCCGATTGCCATCAGTCTGAAGTTCTACCTCATCATCACAGCAGTAGCTGCCTTTCAGGAAAGACAGAATCTCCTGGCTTTGCAGGGAATGCAGTTGGTCTCTGAACCTACAGTCAGAGGATACCTCCAGGAAGGTGTACAGCAGTGCACTCTCCATCTGGACAGATTCATTGATCTTAAACAAGAGAAAATCATTGTTAAGCCCATGCCCAGGAAAAGGCCCACTCAAAAGGTCTATGCATATGCTGTTTTCCAACTCTGAACACGCTTTTCTGGCCTCCTTCGGGCATCCTAAATAGTATTAGCCAGGAAGTCCACAAGACTTCAGCAAATACATACTAACTTCTGGTTGTGCACCCACATAGAACTGTCTGATGGTGAATGATAGATGGCTCTGTTCTTACAAACCAGTGCTGGAAGAGTCAGCTCACCTTCTCCTGCACATTTCCAGCCATAGCAGTGACAGAAACCCTTATCTGAGCTCTTCTTTTGAAACAGATGTGTACTCAGCACAAACCATCCACTTCCCCCTATTCAGACACCTGTGTTTGGAAGGTTTTTACCCCTCTATTTGGGAACTGGGCATACTACTTCCTGTGCATAACGAAGCCAGCAGCTCCCCATTTAAATGTAATCAGAGCATAGCAGTAACAAGGTGGTAAAGAGATAACAGGCAGCATAAGCCTGCAAAAAACCCAAGGTTCACATTTCTTCTCTCTCAAAGGCATCTAGACTAATACCATAATAAACCTGTTCAGCTCCCTGTAGAGAGTCAAACAGCTGCTCACAAGAACAGTGACAGTGAGATGACCGATCACTGTCTGGTATCATCTACACTGGCACATTCACCCCCAGTAAACAGGCACATGCTGCCTCCATGGCCACACACCCTGCCACTTTCAAGCAAGGCAGCACAGAGTGCCCAAATTAGTTCAGCTGAGGAGGTCTGTGAAGCAGTCACGTCAGTGTGAGGAGGAGGTCCCACTGGAATATAGAATCATAGAATGGTTTAGGTTGGAAGGGACCTCGAAGATCATCTAGTTCGAACCACCCTGTCATAGGCAGGGACACCTCCCACTAGACCAGGTCTCATGGGGCTTCATAACCAACTAAGGCCTCCGTAGAAAACCAGGAGACTGTCCAGTAATTTTAGTTAAGCAGCTAAGCAAGCAGGATGTAGTGTGAGCACAGAAATAAAGTGAGAAAGAAAAAATTCTTACTCTGCAGACTGTCTGCCTGTAAGATAAGAAAATGCTTAGGCTTAATTGTAGCTAGGGAGAGGAATCAAGGCTAAAGTAGAGCCGTTTTTCTTGCCAACTGCATAGGGTAATCAATATGCAGCCAGGATGAATCTGATAATTGAAAAGGAGTTTCAGGTACCTTTTTGCGGAGTGGAACCCTGCAAGGCCACTTATATCTATATAACCATATCAGTAATATCATACAGGACCTAGATTGCCTAGGCAAAATTGGGACAAATGCATTAAAAGTAATTAAGGATGGATTGTTTGCTTGAGAGGAGACTGGGCAGAGAAAGGGAGGTACAAAGGCAACAACAAGGAGAGTCCAGAAATGGAAACAAACAGAAGAGAAGGTATACGATCAAAGATCAACAGAAGGCACATCTCCCATGATCCATGGAAGCATGGATGTTTACAGCCAGTAGTGAAGCTCTCCTGGTGACCCAAATTCACTGGGACACCAGGGACGATCCCCTTGATCAACCCACTGGACTAGTCGCCAGGTTTTTGATTCAAAAGGCTTGTGGGAGGGCAGAGCAAAGAGGGTTAGAACTGTGCCCTAACACTAGGTGGGGTGGGGAGGATGACAGGCACTTCAATAGCAGTTATATGTAGCTAATAAGATTTAAGTATGAAAAATAGTAGCTTCATAATTGTGTTTAAATATTTCACAAACCAATGCAACAAATTGATCAGTAGTGTGTATTAGTTTTATTTATTAATTTTAGTAGTTTGTAGCTTAATCAACATACATTATAGTCTCTTAAACAGCTACATCTCCAGTCTGCAGTTTAAAGGGCGAGTGTCACACAGATGTAACAAGGAAGCAGCTTTCAAACTAAGTGGTTCCATCCACTTTTTGTCTGTATTCATGATGGAGAGGAGCAGCGTGGGGGCCCCTGCAGGAACTCTAGAGAAGACGAGAAGGACACAAGCCAGCATTTTTTGAGACTCAGCCCCTTTGAGCTATCTCAGAACAAGTGCACAAGAGAACCAATGGTCACAGTGAACCACTGACTTTAGTCAAGTTGAAACCAACCTGTTCCATGATGGATTCAGAGACAGAGGAGCTCTTGTCACCTTCTGCTTCAGACCAGAAGTCCTTGACCTGCAAAAGAGTGAGAAACAAAAGGGTGAAGGAGAAAATTCCCCAAACCCCACATCTTGCAACAGTGCTTGTGAATCTAGTCATGTCTTGTAGAAAAAAGTGATCCATATCTCTGGAGAGGGCTGCCCATCACACAGTGGCAGTCATAAAATAAAAGGCTGAGAAAACCACAACTGTCCCAGCAACAATACCTCTATACACATGAATGAGGGGCATAAGACTCCGTCCTGCCACAGATGCATGGAGGGCAGTGGAGCAACATCACCAACAAACAGGTCTTTAAAGCCAAGAGGCGATGCTGGGGAGGGGAAGGACAACACTTCGTAGTACCAGAGGCTGGAAGGGAGAGCAGTGTTATCACAGGAGTTCCCGAGTACCTACTGAGAGCAGGTGAGCTCCTTGGGTCTGTGTGCACAGCAGCATATTCTGAAGTGAAACATCCAGCTGACACTGCAATACTTCAAGTGCAACGCCCCCCAGCCCCATGCAGAGATATGTGTGTATATTCAGGCTTATTTCAATACTTTCCCAACCAAATATCTAGGGACAGGAAAGGCCTCCAGGGAGGCCTACTAGGAAGAAAGGAGAAACCAGGACCCAGGTCACAAGTTCCTCTGCCCCCATGGTACATGCTCAGGGCCAACAACCTTTGGCCTGTCTTGTAGCTGGGCAGTGCCCAAGAGAAGAGGCATGCAGGCAAGGCAGAGAGCGTGGTGCAGAGGTTGGCCTCCCTCGCCCACTAAGAAAGCGGAGCCGGTAAGAGCACAGTGCTCCCTTCTCATCCAGCCAGGCGTAGCTGATGGGTAGGTCAGACCAGCAGCCCAAGTAGTCACATCTGGTACAGAAAGTGCCAAAGCAAGGAAGGTGCTAGAACAGCAGAGCAAGTGCCAATAACACAAGACTACCTAGGAAATGCCAAGACAGGCAGGATAAGAATCCTGCTTATGAATCTTGCATTTGCTGCCTTAGTTGCAACAGTCCCACAACGGCACACAGAAGTCTCTGGTGCAAGTTGGCTTCAACTGTTGATGAGTAAGGCCTGGCTGAAAGTGGGCATTACCTTCCCACCAGGCCGCCTTCACCCAGGACAATAACCTGGCTACTGCAAAGGTACCTTCTGACCAAAAGTGGGGTAAAAGCACCAAGGAGCCCAAACTGATGGCCTGCTAGCTCTCAAAGACCTGGGCTAGTGATGAATGATCCTATTTCATTGTAACAACCCCTCACAACTGTGTTTTAAATAACTAAGTGTGCTGGTAGAAAAAAAGACAGGAAGTGAAAGCAGAAATGAATTCAAACTCTGAAGGAAACCACAGTAATAATTTCAAGAGACCATGAATTTCCCAACTTTTCAAAGGCCCTTAGAAGTACCCAAGACCAAAACACAATCTCAAATATGTCTAACACACACAATAGTCCACAGACCACCTCTTAACCATGAGCTCTTTTTTAAAATTTAGTTGTTACATTAGACTAATAGCTTCCTAAAGCACAGGCATAGCCCTTGCTGCTTTGCATTTTTCCCCATTCCATTCAAATCCCTATTGCTGCTACTCACCTCTACCCTAAAGAGTGTAGTCCTCCGTCCTCTTCTCTGGGACCTGACAAGGCTCTGAAACAGGTCAGGGTAACCCTTCTCCTAGGCTTGACTTTGCTGGAGGAGAGACAGATGTTAGTTCAGGTTGGAGAACCTGAGACAGAATCTCCGAGACTAAGAGGAAGTTGGGGATTTAGTATTAAGCCTGTGGCAGGACCTTGGCTTTGTGCAAAATCCTCAGGAGTTGTGCACATAAATTTCTGTAAGCTAGGGAAAGCCTCGACTTGCACATATTTTGGTTTTATATATAACATTTATTTTCAATTCAAAGTAATTCAGCCCAAAACCAAGGTGTTCATGTTACAACCAGTAAACAGTGGATATACTCTGATACTAACTCCTTCTGAGTTAAACACCACTCCAGAACCATCACAGCTGAGACCACAGGAGGCTTGAAGTAGTACAGAGCCTCTGCTGCCCATATCCCATTTGCCTTGAAACCCACGTTCATCACAGCGACCTTTTTGGGCTTTACCAGTATTGCCATCCTCACCCAACTCCAGCCTGTGCCAAAAGCTTTATGTGGGACCACAGCAGTAATCTACAGATGGTCAGATTAACACACACTGGCTTATTTGGGCTGGTAACAGCCAGCTGACTTTGTAACATGAGCACAGGCTGAACAAATCTCCCCATCTTTCAAGATGCAAGAAGTTTCACCATTCTCTGTTCACACCACACTACCTACACAGAGGGGCAGATACTCTCCCGCAGTTCTGGTGGAAGTGTGATGCAACACAAGCCACTACAGCTGCAAGATGCATGCAAGTGGCCAGATGTGCCGGTGAAACTAGCTGAATAGCACCAAAGAGATTTCCCACTTGCAGAAACTTTACAGCGAAACCTCTTCCACCCAAACCTAGCCAAACTGTGCTAGGATGACCTACTTTTTCTCATCGATAATAATTCCAGTCAATTGCTGGAAGGCAAATTTAACAGTCAGGTGGCAATAAACAGACTAAATAAAACATCATCCTGCAGATGGATCAATGTAATCTCTTTTAAGAAGAGAACAGAATAGAAATAGAAGTCAAGACACTTCCTTGGGGGTTTGCCACCTGCCACATCTTCCCAAAGAAAGCTCAGAATGTGGCTTTAAACCCCAGATCGCCTACATCTTTTGTCACAGTATTTTACACTGCCAGGAAACTCAATTCGTTCAGTCTGAACACTCATGAAAGAAGCAGCCAAAATGAAATGCACCATTGTCCTTTCCCACTCCCTGCTTTAAAAGATGCACAGACCACTCACAGACCATTCCAGTCCAGGAGGGAAGAGAAGCACACTGTTCCTTTCCCAAAGCAGAAAACACAAGTCAAAAAAAGATCTGGATCTATTCTGGACATGCCCATGCAGCAAGGCTTGGAAAGGCAGGGCATAGCAGCCTGGCACAAGGCTCTGTAAGTGCATCATCCACACCTGCTTACTATGCTGACTAGAAGCTGTAAGAGGAGCTTGAGCCTGTTTGCCTGTGCATGTTCCTCACATGAATTCCTGGAAATGTGCAGGAAAGGCGCCTGTCTATATCTCTGTAGACCCAAATATTCTGTTTTGAAAGCGCTTATGCTTTTCAAAAAGACATACAAGTTTACACACTGCTTATGGCAGAAAGGTCCTCCCTGGGTGCCCTGCACAGGTAAAACACCTCGACAAGAGCCTCAATGCAGACAGAAAGGGGCTGAGCAGCCCCTGCCCTGCCAGGGTACCTGCTGCACCTGAAAATGTTAAAGGATGTGCAGGGGGAAGAGACCTACAATACACAGGGGTTCTTCCCTTCCCCTCATGGGGTAAATCTCAGATCTATGTAAGAAGTTAGACACTACTCAGGGCAAGTCCACAGAAACAGAGACATTGAAAAAAAAAAATAAATCACCCATTGTGGTTGCAAATTGCAAGTTTGTCCACTCCTGCACATGAGCAGAGATAAGACAAAAAACACAATGAAAAAAATCCACCACACTCTGAAGTACTTATATGGTAAAAAGTTAAAACAAGGAAGCTCGAAGATGATAATTTCATGAACTGAATTCCCTGAATTAAAGAATCACCACCCAGGCAGTAAGAGTCCCTGAGGGGTTCCAGCCTTCAGCTAATAAAGTTCTGCTTGGGTGGTCAAAAACACACCTGAGAACACAAAAAAGGATTTCTCTCACACCACAAAATGACTCCCTACTGTTACAATACAGGGCCAATTTTTTTTTTTTTTTTTTTTAGTTAACTAGTAATTCTGGAAACCTCAAGTTTTAGCTAATTACTCTGAATCAATGCAAGGGGCTTGGATAGTCACAAAGCTCCCCTGAGAATTCTCTAATGGAATCTCAGTATTCCTAAAGAGCGAACCCCAAACAGTCAAATGTAATCATGCTGATGCCACCTGAAGTTTTTCATCATTAAGACTTTGAAATCCTTGCAGTTTTTGATTCAGATTAAGACATTTTTTGGTGGATGGAAAAAGTTACCTTATACTGGGTGAAAAGAATCTTTAGTTGGAGACTGAGAAAAGATGGAGATAAAGGCTAAACACACCATCTGCATTCAAACTCAGAGTAAAACTAGATCATTTGCTAAGGCTGCTCCAGGGCTGCTGAAAGTCTTGGAATAAGTTTTATGGAGTGTGATTTTTTTAAAAAATTGAGGTATCAATTAATTTTAATACATTATTCTCCTTTTCACACTTTCAATTCACTTAGTAGACAAGCAAGCTTCATGTGGTAACAGCTGCCTCTGAGAAACCGCTAGACGCCTTGAAGTGTTCAGCAGATAAGACTACAACCAGGTTTTCAGATCAGTTCTTTTCACCTTCCTTAGGAAAAGAAAAACGAGGGGGTATTTCTAACAGAAGTTTAGGACCCTTAAATCAGCTCTGAAGAGTCAGTGTGGGGCATGTCCACTCCAACTCAATATCGTGTTGGGATGCAAGACTATGAAGAGGCATCTGTTAAGTAAATGTAATTACAGTCAGAGGAGCACATCCACCAGCTCCTTGTCAGCGCAGAATGACAGACCTCATTCTACCTACACACATGCCAATTTTCAAAAGAAAGAATCCTGTGGATGCTTTTCCCAAAGTAAGTCTCCAAAGCTTCCCCCAAGGCAATCATGACTCTTTAGACAGGGCTGAGTACATCCTGAGGGATGGTACATACTGCTGTCCTCCAGCAGCACAGGTCCTTCAGGTCTGGTGTCCCATCTTCTGTTTTTCCCCCCCTCATCCCCAAGACTGTATTAGCCTTTAAATGTTACAGGAAATTCACCAGAGCAGCTGTTCCCAGCTGTGGCCCACCAATGAGGGGTGGCAACACTATAGTCAACAGCAGGCAGGGCCAGAATCCCCTCTCTGACTCCAGGCTTTAAGGAGAAACAGCACTGCAAGTTTGAAGGGAAGAAAAGAGGGAGAGGCAGACTACAAGACCATTTCCACTCTATGGCTCTTCCACACCTGCATCTCCTCCCACATCACTGAACTACCTCTTGCAGTTCTGGGAGGGCTAAGCCAAGGGCTCTTCTCCCACAGCCCTCGCTGGTAGTGCGAGTGGGAAAAGAGACAGCACTGGCCATAGTTGTGCTGGAGAGAGACCAAACTAGATCCTCTCTGCCATACCGTTGCCACGTACTATGTATTTCAAGAGCAAACACTGCAAGCACACGTTTTATCTTCCCAGGTGGGGACTTACACATGAAAATAGTACAGCTGTAAAGCATGGACGGTTTCACCTGCTCTAAAACCAGTGTGGGGTTCTGCTGTACCTCCAGGCACTACAAGCATGTCATCAGCAGCTCCCCACATGGCAGCAAGAATCAGTGAGTAGCATACGGTTACCTGCTAGGGGGAACTCTCTGCATCTCTCAAGGCTGCCATAAACAGGAGTAGGTCCCAGAATCCCCACAGCAACAGTGCTAAGCCACGCCACAAATCAGCTTTTGCCCCTTCACACTTTTGTTACATCTTCAAGACAGCTCAGAAAAGAATCCACGCCATGAATAACGCCTCTGCTTACCATTGTTTTCCCCCATATCCTTCACCACTCCCCACAGCTCAGCCTGTGAGTTACTATTCTCAGCTGTATCAGACACAGTCTGGTTATGCAAACATACTCTTTCCAGCAGCAAAGCCACATACCTGTAGGACTGACTCTTTTAACCACTTGTCTGGATTCCAAGACACATCCCCTACAAACACCTAGCCAGACACACTATCAGTCTATGGACCTGTTGTGCGAGTTGTCAAGATACTTATCTGTATGTCTCACATTTGAGTTAGGAGTGACTTAAAGTCTTCAAAGCAAGAACTGCAATAAAGCATCAGTCATTGAGAAGGAAATCACTTCCAACCTGTGCACTGCTTTCTCTGCCTGGCAGCTGAAAGATAAGAACTTTATTTGTGGCACTCCAGATGACATCATTATTGGAAGAAATGATACAGTCCCTATTTGTCCCTTCTTGGACCTGGCAGCTCTTACTTGTCTTCTAGGCAGACGTTTCACTGTTGAGCTGCAGAGCTCTTTACCGAACAAGGCATCATTTTACAGGTAAGGAAACCGAGTCATTTGATATGACCTGACATTTTAAATCCACATATCAAGCCATAACTACTCAATTTCACTGTCTTCCTGAAAACTTGCCACAGGTACAACTGCTTTACATAACCAGCATTACTGGAAAGTGATGAAGAGAAACAGCACCACAGACTTATGAAGTTCCTTATTTGAGGGTATTCTAAGCTGTGCCAGACTGCTGTCCGTAGCACTTCAAGTCATGACACGGTAACCAAATCCTACATTGTCTTAAAGTCCCCAAAGGAATCCCCACCACACTAAATTTCTAGCCCATAAACCCAAGAGGAACTAAACAGCCCAGCTAGCAGCAGATACCAGAGATTTTCCTCATATTTATCTGCTTATGGAAGAAGCTTGACTACTCCCATGGCAGCTGCACATGCACTTCAGACTTTGCAAAGAGAGAGAGAAAACCAGCAGCAAAAGGGAAGATATCTTGTTGATCTGCAAAAAAAAAAAAAAAGCTGAGATGAATAAATAGGATGTTATCATAACCACAGAAAACCTGTCCCCATCACTATTCAGCATGCAAAGAATATGCCAGCCTGTAACAGTGTTTAGAAGGCCCCAAGACTTTGTCTCATCTGAGACTTGCTGTCCTCCTAAAGTAGAATTTGATTCCAGGCTTTGGAAAGAAAGGCCGAAGGGGTAGGAAAAGAGACTTTGCAATGTATTAGCCAAGTGAAGGATGAGCTGAACAAGCCCCTTTGTGCATCTATGGATTCACATACACACGCTACTGTGAAGCCAGAGTAATGGTTTGGTGCCATCTGGTTAATACCAAACCTATTGGCTTGGAGTTTCTCAGGACTTTCTCCACCTCAGGGAACACAGTTTCCAAACCACAGGCATTTTCCATGCACTTGCCTCCGAAGGAGGATCATGAATAGCTTCATTTTTGAAGTGGCAAAATTGACAAGCCATGGACAGA